GTCCCCTGCAGAGATTCATCAGGCTATCCTCATTTTTGTTATATCCCTCTGTTTTATCTGACTCACTTGAATAAACTTCAAATCACTGCATTGATAGAAAGGAAAATCAGTCTTATTTCACTTTAATATTTTAAAGCCCATTTAGGTGGGTGCACAGGGTAGTTCCATCATGGCTGGGTGGATACATTCTGCAGTTCTTAAAGAGTCCAAAACCCCTGCTTCATTAAGACTTTGCTCACATTGTTTCCCTGTTCCCTCAGATACCATGGCAGTGGATTAAGGTCAGCTTCAAAGAACTTTTCCCTGAGCAAAATGGACACTCCAGCAAGTTTAATCTGCAAATTGTGTAAACTGGCAAAGTTACAGAACTAAACAGACTTTATGCCAGCTGGGGATGTGGTGGCAGCAAGTCTGGTGATCCCAGTGGGCTCAGCCTGGTTACATCTGAGAGGCCAAACCTGTAACTACTGATTTTTTCCCAGAGAGGTTGAAGGATTCATGTTGGCACAACGGGGCTTGTCTGGTTTTGCATGTCTTGTGTGTCTGTTTCAAAACAAAGTCACCAAGAGGCATGCAACCCTTCCTGGAGGTTTACTGTGAATTTCCTAGCCAATTTCCTTCCCCAGTTCCCTGCTTTGAAGCTACCTTACCCTTGAGAGCAGAGGGTGCTCAGTGCCAGCTCAGAGGTGGCTATGCCTTTCAGGGACACCCCAGGCTCCCTGCAGTCCCTTGGAGCCAGTTGCTTCCTGGTTCAAAATGTCCTTCATTTGCAGCAGAAACTGCAGTTCAAGGACATAGTATTGGCTGAGATTTTAGGAATACCACCCGCTAGGTGCACTCTAAACACAGTCCCATCTTATGAAAAAAAGTAGGGGAATAGCACATCCAAGAGAAATTACCTAGATGCTCAGAGACAAGTCTCTTATTAGTTAAGGTGCATGTCATGGTGTTGCTCCCTCCCTATTTTCAGTTAAAAGCACCTTTCACCTACCCTCTTTCCTTTCCCCACAGCTGAACACATACATGGTTTTATTATTTTTTGTAAGAGTTCCTTCCCTTCTCCTCCCTTTCAGCATTTGCTTGTCCCCACATACAATAGAGATGTTCCATCCTAAAGGAAACAGAGGAGCAAAAGATGCAGGAGCTTCTTGCAAGTGTCATGGAAGAAACTAAGAATTGCAAAGTATTCCTGGGAGCTAGAAGAACATGAGGTTTTGAAAACTTTCACCCATTCACACATAGAAAACACTGCAGGAGCCAGGGCAGAAGGCACCTTTGGTTGCCAGACTGGGAAAGGGTAGGTCAAGGAGTGGATCGTGATAAGAGAAGCAGCAGGAATGAGGCAGTATTGAAAGCAGTTCCAAAGAGTTAGCACTTATCCCTGAGGAAATGGGGAACCCCAGAGACAACTGAATAGCATGGTCAGGCTGAGAGGCAAGGGGGATCTTGACAGATGACAGCAGAGGCACAGGGTCACTGACCAGAACCAGTACTCAAAACAACACAACTAAATTGTCATGCCAACTTCCATGAAGAAAACACCAGTACTATTTTGAAAGGAATATTGCAACACCTTTCTGATAGAAACTTTTCCTAATAGCAAGTCACCCTTTTAGAAGCTCCTTCCTTTGTATTAAGCACAGCACTGGAATCCTTGCTGCCTGTGCAGCCATTGACATTTCAGATGATGGCAAGTGTCCCACCACCTGAGAAGGGAGGAGAGACGGACACACAGACTGCCACCAGCCCAGCCAAGCTCTCTGGGGGTCAGAAGTGCTGCTTCCAAGGTGGAGTGCATAACACATAGTTTGACTAGTAATGTTAAGTGTCTGTCATTAAGGGTAACATGCCAAGTCTATAATTAAATCATGATACTGTATAATACAGAAGGTTACACTGCATGAGTAGAGACAGCTGTCAAGTCCTGTGCCTTTTATTAATACATATGGCATGCACAGCATGTGTGTCTCTAACTACTTGCTAGCTCTACCTTCATAAATCATATTTGCCACTATCTCTGACACCACATAGCTTTAAAAAGCAAACCCCATCCGCTTATTTGAAAACATTTTTCAAGTGGAACTGCAGTAGGAAAGTTTTACTTGTGCTGACCTACCTGAATTGAACAGAATAATGTTTCAGTATTTCCAAAAGGCCATGTGACCTGATGAAAAGGTAAAACACTAATCCTAATCCCAGCTCTCGCACTGAGCCCTAAGTGGCCTTTGGGCCAGAAATTTAGCTCTCAATCTCTCGGCACAAGAGAGAAGAAACATGGCAGAGCTGAAGGGATGACTAATTAAAGAGAAAATGCTTGCTCAGTATCCTAGGGAATGTGACAAGCAAATATTACTTCACATCAAGAAGCTTTGTTTAATTGATATTAAGGGGAAGCTGGGAAGATCAGACACCAGAAATGTGGCACATTGGTACCTAGCCATAAACTGAATGTGGCAGTCTCATGAAATAAACTCACAGGTAAAGGCACTGCTTGCAACTTTCTCTCCTTTATAACTCCTGTCATGAGGGTGTATAGAGGCAGGGGAGAAGGAAGGTTGCTGCTCTGTGCTTTTACACAGTGTCTTGGATTCCCTGCAGGCAGCAGGAGGTGGCACCCATGAGAGCATCTCTACAGCCTTTTTAACAGCTGAACCCAGGATGGCGTGCTCCCCCTGCTTCCCCTCATGATGAAGACATCCTCATTAAACTAAAAACTCAGCTTATGTTATAAGGTTGCTGCTCCTCTAAATTTAATGTGAAGTTGTACATGAAGAGTCACTACTATAGGCACCTTTCCTTGCTTCACACATTGGCACTGCTGAAGCAGACAGTCTCCAAGATTTCATACCCTTGACTTTGTCAGGACACCAGAGTAAAGCTCTGCTCACAGGGTTTCTGCAGACATCCATATTTTCAAGACTTACTACAGAGCAACGTTCTCATGAAATTAACAGGATGCTTCTTACTGACTTCAGTGGTAGCTGAGTCAACTGCTCAGAGGCTGAAACCTGGACAGCCCTGAGCACTTCCTGGCTCTGCTCCACAGAGCACTCCCTGTGTTTAACTTCTGAGCGTCTCTTTGAAGTCAGTGCCCCCACAGTATGTCCTGATTAAGCAAGTTCAAGATCTCTGATCTCCTGGCCACACCACTGGCTCTGTGCACTTGAAAACATCATCTCCTCCAGCACCTCTGCTGAGACAAATGCCACAAGCACTTAAACCTAGCTAGTAAATGCATCTTGTATTACTCAAGCATGTCTGAGTAAAGCTGATAATTTTTGAGGCAAAACAGAGATCTGCATACACACACTGGTTTTGCCTCTGCTGAGGCAGAAGCTGAACCAAGCCCAGTACAGACCTACCTTTCACAGAGGCTGAGTAGGTGGAAATGATGCAAAGGAACAGCACGGTAAGAAGAATCATGCTGGACTCTGCCGAGCTCCTGACTGCAGCATGAAGTGCGAGAACCTCCAAGAAGTGAGCTGAGACTGGAGCTTGCAGAGAGAGCCACAGGCTTGGCCACACTGTTTATCTAGATGTAGTAAAGGTCAGATTCCAAATTCCACACTCAGGTACTAAGTTCATTAAAGGACTTCCAGTTAATTATTAAGAACTAAGGTAACTGGCAGCTTCTGCCCCATTTTATCAATCACCTCGGCTTTCATTTTTTAATACTGAGCCCACACATCCCCATTTCTGAGCAGCAGAGCCCACCTCCAGTGCTGGAAGAACCAGGAGATCCTGCCACCACTCCTCTCTCTGAACAAAAGGACCATCAGGTCTGTTTCTGCAGGGGCCAGATCCTGACCACTGTTTCCACTGTCTTGCATCATCTGTCATCATCTCTGAGCAACCACAGAAGCAGAGGTTTTTTAAGGGTCTTCCTGGAAGCAGAAGTACATGGGATTTATCAGTGCCATCCCAAAATCTGATCCTACTTCATTACAGACTCAGATGTGATGTCAGTGCCTGCTACATTGTACCATACTAAACCAATGTTCTTTCTTTCAGCATCCCCAGCCCCCACCTCACATCATTGCAGTGGCAGAGGTTAGAGCCTGAAAGATGAGATAAAACAAGACATTTTGTGTCTCTGTGAAGGGTACCTGCTTGGCAAGGTCTGGGAGCAGGGCAAACCAAGCCCTTCTCCCTTTCCTTGTGCTTACTTCACCACCTCCCTTGGAAAGGCCCTGGCTAAGCCAATGCTTCCCTTTTCCTCTGACAGTAAATCCCAGGCCCTCTCCCACTAACCTCATGGCCACAGGGCTGGTTAAAGGATGTCCTTCAGCTGTCCCTCAGGTGTCAGTGGGGCAGCAGGCCAACCCCCCGTGTTTCTTGGCACGCCCTGGCACACAGCCTGCAAGGCTGCCTGCCTCTCCCCCAGCACACAAAGCCCTCCCAGCTCCGTGAGGAGGCAGGATCTGCTCTGCCAGTAAAGGAAACACACAAGTGAGCCATCAACACAGTCATCCACTTCACTTCCACAGGTTGCTTTCATGCGACTGTGATCTACGAACACCCCAACCCAGCAAGGGCCAGCCCAGGCTGCAATTGCACGATCCCAGAGGGCCCCATCCTCTGTAAGGGATGGTAAAGTGAGAGCAGCCTTCACCTTGAGTGGTATAAATGCCTCCTATGGGCTTTTTTGTGGTAAAGAGAAGTTGACTGGGGAGCGCCATGCGCGGCGGCCTCACGCGACCGCCGCTCTGCGCTTCCCCGCCCGGCTGCGCGTGCGCGGCTCCGCCCCTTCCCCACGCCGGGCGGGCGGGCGGGCGCGCGCGGGGCGGCTCGCGGGTACGTTGCGGCCCCTGGGGGGCGGGGGGGAACATGGCGGCCCCCAGGGGCCCTCAGCGCGGGCCCGCACCGCGCCCGGCACTGCCGCCGGGCGGGACACGGCCCTCCGGGGGCCCGCCCCGGCCCTCTGCAGTCATGAGGGGCGTATGGCGTGTCCGTGTACAGATACACGTGTGCTTGCGTGTGTGTATATGTATATATATATATATATGTGTGTATGTGTGTCTGTCTGTGCGCCTGTATACGCGCACGCAGGGCTCGGTGTGTGAACGCCCTCAGACAGGGAAAGCGGGGTGTGCCAGCAAAACCTGCGCTGGATTTCTGGTGTCCTGTGAGTTTCCTGTCTCTGGTGCCGCTGCAGGCAGCCAGGGGGTTGCTGTTTCCTGCCTGTTGGAGATGCAGTGCTCTCCGGTGAAGTTGTCCTTGGGGAATTGTGTAGGTGTCGGGCACAAAGGAGCTGCTAGGGCGGAAAAATCGTGCTTGCCATTGGAAAGGAGTGGTTATAATTGTACTTGACTTGAACCGAGAGTGTTTTGCCGAATAGCAATTGTTCATCCTTTTACTTGTTGTGTTTGTCTACTGACAGTGGCCACTGTCTGTTACTGTCCAGTGTCTTCTGTTTCCAGGAGAAATAAAAATAAATTTTGAGGGAGTACAGCTCGTTCACACTGCTTTTTTTCCCCCCAAATGGCTTTAGTCACTTTAAAATTACATTTCTGTAATATGCTGCTGTAGTTATATTGCAAGATACGTCTTGAATTTTTTGCTAGTGCTTTTTTTCCTATTACATTTGATTCAGTATGATTCTCTAATTTTATGCTGTTGTTCTTTTGCAAAGTTTTTAATCAGAAACGATTCGCTACCTGCAGATCTAGCCGGCAGAATTTTAGGCTCTCAGAATACAGGTTATAACCTTTCTAGAATGTTCTATGTTACTATTTGCAGAGGCTTTAAACAAACAAAAAAGGCCTTCTCTTATTCTTTATTCAGGCTTATAGTAGGTGTGGAGTGGTGTTTGTTCTAGTTGAGCATCTTGTTAATGACACTCATATCACTTTGTTTCCTAGAGAACTGGTGAGCAGAAGACTTGCTTTTAATGAAATATCCAGCATGTGTTGAGAAACACATCAGAAAATCAAGCCAAAAGCCAATGTCATCTGAATCACCCACAGACAGTCCAGAGGTGCCAATGGAAAATACCCCGTTCCCTGAAGTTCCTGATGTGGAAGGAAAGGCAAAGTCAAATGACAATCCAGTAGAGAGACTGGAGGCAGGCCCAGGCAAGGAAGAATGCCTTGAGTCCATGTCCAAGAGGCAGAGGAAGAAGCTGTTGAAGCAGAAGCAGTGGGAAGAACAGAAAGATCTACGGAGGTATGGTTTGCAAAGCAGCTTCCCATGGTTCCCATGTAATATTTAGTGCTAATAATAACGACGTGCCAGCAGAATGTGTTTGTGAATTGCTTCATCAAATCAAGGCAGTTGAACCAGTTTTCTCCCACACCAGGTTTAAAGCAGTAGCCCCAGGCTACTTCGTCTGCACTTGAGGAGGCTGTAGAGGTAAGCATCCCCTCCTCATACTGGAATTGTTCCTCGGCTTCAGGAGGGATTCAAACGTGCATGTTGTTCATTTGTCAGGAGGGAGACAGAACGTGTGGCCTTGTTCCTCTTTTCCTGGTGCTGTCAGACTTGAGATTCCTACAAAGACACTCAATAAAAGCAGCTACATTTGACACATGAAGTGCTGTGCTACAAGTGACGCTGACTTATATAGAGCTTCTGTTTTGTTGTGTTGAGAGAAAGTGCATCTGCAAATGCACTGATGGTGGTTTATTCTTATCCCACTGACTGCCAGGTGCTCCTTCTCAAGACAGTGGTTGTTGCTGTCTCTGAAATTTGATCTGCCAAGTGCCTGCTCCTATCAGGAGGACAGGAGGATGGAACAATTTCTTCAGAAGCCTTTTGAAAAACTCTTCAGTGAAACAGGATGTGAATTGTCTTCCTGATTCTGATCCTGATACTGTGATTGCTGTTCATGTGTAAACTAACCACTTTTTGGCTAGTTCTGTTGCAAGACTTGACTTAGAGCACCTTTAAATGCATGAGACTCCCAGTGTTGAGTTAGTTGAGTGAATTTGTGTCAGGTGTCTGTCTTTGTAGGTATTTACATAACTTCACAAAGGTGGGTTGTTTTTTGTGCTGGCCTCAGTGTGGCACAAATGCAGGCAACAGGCTGAGTTTAAAGTATCACAGTCGCAGGACAACTGCTTTGGTCCTAGAAGTCTGCATTTGTGTGCGTAGCACAGTACCTCAGCAGACTTGGCAGCACTTTTTGAGGATTGATTTGTTTGTTTACTTAGGCAGAAACGAAAAGAAAAACGCCAGAAGAGAAAACTAGAACGTCAGTCAAAATTGGATTCCAGTAGTGAGGGGAATGACAGGAAGTGCATGCGCAGGGAAGTTGTTCCTAGCACACTTCGCCTCATCGTGGACTGCAGCTTTGATGACCTGATGGTGTTAAAGGTAAAAGGAACTTCAGATTAACTAGGTATATTTAATTTTCTTAAATACAGACTGTATGTTCGCAGGATTTTCCCATGGGTTCAGACCGAGTGTTGTCACAGTGATAAATCTGTTTGATTCCTCAGATTAATTTTGTATGTTAATTAAATGCCTGTGATTTTTTTTCCCTAGAATAATGTAAATCATGCACATGCATAGAGGTGTCTAAGTACACCTGTGTGGAAGATGTGTGTGCCTCCCAGTCAGCAAAGTCCCTTCACAATGGGTGTTTTTTCTCTGCCCATACTCTCTGAGTAGTCTCTTTAGCCAGTTGAAAGCTTCCTTTTTCTCTCTTTAGCTTCTGACTGGCTCATGATAAAGCGTTTTGTGATGGTCTGTGTGAAGGACTAAATAAAAACAAACTGTGTTGTGTACAGGATGTTAAGAAGCTTCACAAGCAGATTCAGAGATGTTACGCAGAAAACCGCAAGGCATTTCATCCTGTGCAGGTAAGTTTGAACACACTGAACACTGACTGTTGCCAAGTACCAAACATGAGAACTGTAGTAGGAAAAGAAGACATTTAAGCTGCCTCTTCCATAAGAAAATTACTTCTATTGAAACACCCACGTTATAAATATACTCCTGTATATGGAACAGTATGTGCATGCAGATGAAAAGATCCAGGTGTGCCAGTAAGAGGCTGTTGATACTCTTGGTTTTAGCTGTGGCAGATATTAAAAAAAGTCACTATAAGTCCAAATTTGTCTTTTAAACGTATCACTAAGTGATATATCACATTCATATCACATATGAATATGGTCCTAGTACCACTTCCATCTAAAAAATATTAAGTGTTTTAGCTAATAGTTAAGGATGGAAAGAGAGGAAACAGATTGTGGCAAATTGACATTTCTGTATTTTGTACCTCTTGTTTGTTCTGTTTGAAGTTTTACTTGACCAGCCATGGGGGACAGTTGAAGACCAACATGAACGAAAATGACAAAGGATGGGTGAATTGGAAGGTGAATAATTGAGTATTTCTGTAAAAAGTTAAAGGCTTGATTGTAATTGTTAACTATATTGTTAGTTGTGAAGAACATGATTTTTTTCCACGTGTGTTTTTGTAATGCATGTGAGCAATAGTATATTTGAAAAAGTGTAGCTTTTTGTCCTTGTAATTGATTTAACTTTAATAAGCCAAAGACTGCTTCTCTTGAATCTAGATTTGAATTTTGCTTGAAAAACTACACACAAGATCCATTTTCACTTATTTTTATTGAACAAATTCTATTCTTGATAGACTAAGCAGGACTCCTTGATTTAGGCAGTTCCAGTTGTCTGTCTTGACAGTGCTCTTTTATCCATGTCCAAGATAAGACTTACCAGTTGGGATGTGATTCTCTGGTGTGCACTTTCACTTTCATCACGTTGCCTCTCAGGTGTGAAGTGTTCTGGAGAGAAGTAGCTTCTCTTATGGTTAAGCTCATGTTGGTTTTCCTTGTGGCTCCCTGTTAAGCCACTATTCCAACAACTGCAAAGGAAGAGCACTTAGAACAAATAAAAGCAGTCCTGTTTCCAGCAGTTCTTGTGCAATAGCTGCTTCATGAGAGCTTAGCATAAATTTCTCTTACTGAACAATTAATGTTAACTAAGCGTTTGCTTCTGGGTTCACTTTTCTTAATGCATTTGAAAATTACTTGAATCCATAGGAGAAATATGACAACGTTTGAAGGGAATCACAAGAGCTTAAGGATTTGTAAAGTTCTTTTGGGGTTTCAGAAAATTTCTTGCTGATTTTAAAAGTCAGTGCTCTAGGGACTGGATTGTTCACACAGAAAATCAATCTGCACTGTGCTATGTATTTGAACATGAAGGGAGGAATGTGGAATGACCACATACTGTTGGATTTATTTTGCCAGTCCCATCTTGGTTCTGTAAAGCTTGGCCAGCAATTCATCAATTGAATGTAACTTCTTTTAACTACCTTTTTTTGAGGATATCCAAATTAGAACAGAGCACTATAGTGAACTAATAAAGAAAGAAGACCTAGTATATCTTACCTCAGATTCCCCAGATGTTCTCAGAGAGCTTGATGAGAAGAAAGCCTATGTGATTGGAGGACTGGTGGATCACAATCACCACAAGGTAAACTGTGGGTCTGTTTCTTTGCAGCTTTTTTTTGGCACCTTATTGAACATTATTGCTGTTCATGTGTAAACTAACATAATAATGAGAAATCTTCTTCAAAAAAGAATTCAAAAATGCTGAAGAAATGTGAAAAACACTTGTAGTGGTAGCAGTGGCTTGTGTTCCAGAGTTTTCTTATTCTTTACTCTTCCCCTGAAAAAATACTGAGTGACTGCAACCTGAATAACTTTGTACTTTAACATAAGCTCCTTTAAAACAGGCAGCAGCTGATGGTTCTAGAGCTGCAGCTGCATGAACAGGTTTCATTTACAATCCTTTTGACCACAGGTCGCAGTGTGACATATATAGAAAGTAGTGAGTTTTCTAGAGGTAGTAGCCCTTGAGGAAGGTGCTGTCCAGTGGGGTTAAGTTTTTTTTTGTAACCAACTTCTAAAGCAACATCATGGCAGCCTAGGCAAAACTCTTGCCAGAAAATGATACTTGTAGTGAATCTGTATGGGCTGATCTGAAACAGTAATTCTCAATCCACTTGTTTTGGTATCTTTTCCCCAGGGAATTACTTACAGAAAAGCTGTAGAGCAGGGAATTGGTCATGCACAGCTCCCACTTGGAAACTTTGTCAAAATGAACAGTCGGAAAGTGTTAGCTGTCAATCATGGTAAGTTCTGAATCATAAAATAATTATATTATTTTAGAATATACCTGTAATAGTCACCATTTGACTCTCTGCACTGTAGTGCAGATGCCTAAACCTTGTTTTATTATGTTGATATTTCTTGAATTTAGTTGCCTTCAGAATACACTAATTGCCCTGACCTTTAAATATTATAGATATGGTTAAATGTAAATGACGGTGTCTTAGCCATTTAGAAGTTCACATTGTATCCTGTTGGCTTCTCTGAGGATTACTTGTGGCTTTCTTACCATCCTGGTCTTGTTTCCAAGTTTACTGTATAAGTGAGTAAAATGCTGGAAACTATCCGACTTTGTATTTTATTGTAGGGTACACATTTTATGCCAAGGGAGGATGAATGTTTGTGATGTTTTCACCTCTTTCAACAGCTTTGCTCAGCAGTAACTGTCTCAGTACCTGTAAACTTTCCTCAGTTGGTATCAGCAGTGCTCCAACTACTGAACTTTCATAACTGTATTTTTACCTGATTTCCTGGTTCTGATTGAAGTATTCAATTGCTTAACCAAGCCTTGAATCCTGCTCCTTTAAAACTTTTAGCTTTATTATTAGATTGTCTTTCAGTGTCATTACACAAAAATACACGCAAAATGGAGCCTACTCAGACCTTCATGGAAATTTTTGACATGGTGTCAAAGTCTTTGTTGTGCCCCACTGCACATTCTTTAGCTTATCTTACCTTGCTTTATTTCAAGTGTATTTTTTTATGTAACACATTGTTCAATGATAACTTTATTTTCTGAAAGCACCATAATAATGAGGCTGGCATTTACATGATAATAAAGATTATTTAAGCATGGAGGAGAATATAGTATGGCACGGGACTTAACATTATCAAACACTATGTATTTGTACGATGTTACATGTTCCTAAAATTTGATCTTTCACTGTTGCCTTATATAGAAAGGAAGAGCTAATTATAGCAGGGGTCAAAACCTTTATTAAAGTGTATTCACAGCAGGATTCCTGTCCAACATGTGAAAGCATTGGTGCCTGTACAGAAGGCACTGGTGAGACTGAAGTATTTGTCTCAGTCCCTGAGAGAAATATTGTCATGCAGCTGGAAACTCGGGGTGTGCTTGACTTCAGGCTGCAGCAGTGGCAGAATTGCAGTGTCTGTTCCTGCCTGCATTTCATCAGCTCTGCTCTGAAGGTGCCACAAGAGAATGCACATAAACCTCTGTAAAGATGGATTTGGGGGTCTGTTGCTATCAGCAATTCACTTACCTCCCTGTAAAAGAGCTGATGGGCTTTTCTGATGTTGCAGTGTTTGAGATCATCCTTGCATACCTGGAGAAGAGAGACTGGAAGGAGGCCTTTTTCAGTGTCCTGCCACAGAGGAAAGGGGCTGTTCCTTTGGGAGAAGCCAATGATTCATCCAAACATGCTCTGTCTGGAAAAGAAGATGAAGACAATGACTCGGACAGCAACTAGGCTTCAGAATTGGATAATGGGAAGGACAAGACATGCAGTTCAGGGAATAAAACTGGGACATGAAGTAGTTTTACTTCAAAGACCACCTGCGGCCCTTGTAATGCTGAATTGTCTCGGTGCTTGGTAGTCCCAGAGCTGTTTCTGTGCATGAAGGGTTAAGTTAAATGCAGGTTTTTACCCTGAAACTTCAATATAATAGCTTTTTAAAAAGAAAAAAAAGAAATTAATGCAGCATTTATTTTTTTCCCAGGGAAGCTGTTTAATTTAATTTTTTAAATGTTGTTTTTTATACATATCAAGTTGGGTGTAAATGCCAAGAACATTAGTAGTTAATATTTTAATGTATACATTCTTGTCTCCATTTCTGTTCATAAGTTTTCTTAAAAGCAATGAATGACAAGTGTTCCTTTGGTTCCAAAACCTGTACCACTAGTGCCTGCTGCAAAGTTGTGCATGAACACTCAAAACAAAAATTCTGATTTTCCTGAGCATCTCAACAGACAATCACAAGCAACTGAACTGCCTGATTTCTGTATTGTGTTTAGTTAGCTGGGGTCAGTAGGTGAAGTATGAATGTGGGGTTAAGCCAGTGCTTTATACTTGAGCTCGAGAGGGATGGGTGTTAGCACAGATGCAAATCATGTGCCTTGGTGGGCACATGGTGCACACTGAGGTGACTCAATCTCTTTTTGATTATTTCTTTGTATTCTCAGCAAAATTTATCACACAGCCTCAAAACAACACCAGGAGAGAGGAACTCCTCCTTACAGGTCACTCAGATTCAGTATTACTGTGTAATCACAAGATCCTCTATGTATCGTATTGTCTATCAAATATTTTTCCTTTTAAAAAAAAGTCAGTCTTGGCTGGATGTTCTGATTCTGATTCATCAACTGACTTCACTGCTGTGGCAGAGTAGTGAAGTGGACGTCTTGGAAGTGAGGCTTTGCTTCAGCCCTGTGAGCCTGCCTATCCCTTTCTTCTCCAGGGAGTAGCCAGGTAGCTGCAGTGCCTGAATAAGTGCAGCTCTCACACAGGTTTCTCATGCCTGAAGAGCTTGAGGTCATGGCATCCGAAGTGTGCCTCTCTGCTGAGCTGCAGTCAGAGGGCTGATTCAAGTATGATTTGCCTTGTGCCCATTTTTCTTGTTCCCTTCGTTGTTACTGCTTTCAAGTGGAGACTGCAAGTGGGTCCCCATGGTCTGTAAAGGCTTGGCACCCAACTGGTCATGACTGACACACTTAGTGCACTTCTCTCTACACTTTCTAATAGAAAGGTTTCTTCTGTTAAAAGGATGGATTGTGGTTTGTTGCTGAAGTTCCATGGGGCTTTTCTTAGGCTTTACAAAACTGTGGTTGCTTTGTTGCAGAAACTAGATCAGCCTTTTCATAAAAACAGTGCTGGTTTTATTTCTGTAACAAAAAAGGCAGCATAAGTGTATCCAGCATGTATTACACTGATTCTCTAACTGAAATGTGTAAAATTTCAAGGAATTACACCATAACAGCTGAGAGCACCTCACATTACTGCATGTAGCACCTATTAAACCTGATCTAAGACTCCTCAGTGTGTCCAAGGTTTCCTTAAGACCATTTCATTCATGTGCCTCATTTACTCAGGCTTGAGAGTATAGGAGCAGATGGCTCAGACAAACTGGGGACTTTTAGAGACATGCTGAAAGGGTTCCAAAGCATCCTACAGAAGTGTTGTGCAACTTAAAACACAGCCTTACAACCTTACCAGTGAAATTAGATACACCCACACACATACAGGTGTTTCTAAATCCAGCTGTTTAAATCTGAAGCTTACCTGTCTATGGAGAAATAGAAGGAAAACATGGTCTGGGATGTGTTGCTGTTCAAAGGCTGCTCTTGCCAACTGCACTGTGTCACAACAGCTCAGTGGCTGCTGCCTGTTCATCCATGTTGCTTGTCTCACCCACACACTGGGGTCTTCCTGTCCCCCATCATAAGAAATGTGGCCAGCAGCTCAAGGGAGGTGATCCTCCTGCTCTGCTGATGAGACCCCACCTCGTCTGCTGTGGCCAGAGCTGGGGCTCACGACATATGAAGCTCATGGACCTGTTTGAGCATGTCCAGAGGAGGCCATGAAGATGCTCAGAGTGCTGGAGCACCTCTCCTGCAGACAGGCTGGGAGAGCTGAGGCTGTTCAGCCCAGGAGAAGAGAAGGCTCTGGGGAGACCTTAAAGCACCTTCCAGTACCTGAAGGGGGCCTACAGGAAAGCTGGAGAGGGGCTTTTAACTGACAGGGGTGGGTTTAGGTTAGATATTAGGAAGAAATTCTTCACTGTGAGGATGAGGACTTTTAATTGTTTCTCATTTTGGATTTACATATTGTGTACAAGTTATAGCCCTGTTTGGCACTCTGGTGTTCTAGCTTGTGGCATGCTACTTAAGAAAGCACATTTATTCTTCATTTTCAATCTACAGACCTGACTGCTCTCAATGTTTTCAAGATGGTCACTTGCATATTTCAGGCATGGCCTACTAATGCATTACACTGGAAGCAGAGATAAATCACTGTACTGTTTTATAAGAAATGACAAGGAATTTGTTTCTGATAACAGTAATAAATATTTACATACAGTGCTTTAGGCACTTCTTACAGAAAGATCTTTCTTTGAACCAGCTTTAGCTGTACGAAGTTAATGAAACTGTGGGAAAACACACTGAGAAGTTCTCTGCTTCACCGTGCTGTGCTCAGGGAAGATCAGCTCTGACCTGCTTGTCTGACCAAGACTTAGAGACCTCTGATGTGATTTGTTCCCAGGCCACGATGTTGAAGAACAGAACATTAAAAAAACAATCTGCACAGAAGCTCTAGAAGAACAGGATCCCTGTGTTTCACCACCAGGCGTCCTTGTTGAGCTTAAGAAAGCTCTGACTTTCATCACTAAGCTTTGTAAAGTTTCAGGTACTGCCAGAACTATTGCTCAGCCATGCTGGGCAGCAGACTACATCCAGAGATATTTAAACCTAGGAAAGCATTAAAAAGGCAATAAAGGTACGCCTCAAGGAACCTGAAAAGAAAGAAACAGAAAATAAGAAGGGGATATAGCAGAAAGTAAAACCTTCTCACTGAAATGGGCAAACTCGCTTTTAGTTGCATGCAGTGGGGAGGTCACAGCAAGGTGCCATAAGTAATCCTGTTGTTTTGTCCCCTTCCCACCGAGCCTCAATCTCCTTGGTTCAGATTTCTGAAGTCAGGAACCTCAGCAGTGTTTATCTGCATCCATGTTGTGACAATTTCCCAAACACTGTACTGCTACAGGTTACTGTACTTTCCCCCTTCTTGTCCATTTCCTGGATTCAGGTCAATTTGCCTTTGCTTTGGCTTCCACATGTCCCATATGCTCATTGACGCTATGTTTGCTTATAGAGCAGTAGTGTTTGACTCGAGACACGACTCTGCAGAAGAGCATCTGAGTAGAAACGAGCCTCTCTGAACTGCCCCATCTCAGAGGCTTTTGGTCACAAAGTTGACAACGATGGTGGGTTTTGCAGTGCACACTGGCACGCTGCACAGGGGTGTAGCTGTCCAAGGGGATCCACACTGATGGTTATTCCAAAATCCTGTGTGCATGACAAGGCACATGTACTCAGGGCAGTTTTGGGGCAATGTGACTGCCAGCTGCAGGAGTGCAGGATGTGGCATTCCTAAAATCCTTAGAGATTGAGGATAAGGTCAGGGAAGTTTGAAGAGTTCAGTGTTCCTCTGATTTAAACAGAACTTTTTATTGCTCAGGCTGTGCTGTAGATCACACTGAAGATCACAGGTTCACTGCATCATTATTGGTATTGGTTCATATTATTGTAAAGTATCCATTTATTCTGCAGGAGGATTTTAAAATAAGCTATCAGTAAGCACACATTCTTATCATAAGTTATTTTGAAAAGCAGAGATGGACTTCAGTGTGACTTCCAAATCTAAAGCTGAATAAAGTTGGCCCATCTTTGAAATGTGTACCTTAATTGTCTCTCTTCCAAGAAGGTGGCTTTGTTAGCTGGAACAACAGCATCTACTACTGACAATCCTAAAGCCAAATAATCAAATGTTTGATTCATATTTATTCCCTTTTGCTGCATTTTTACTTCAAGTACTGTAAGATATGCTTTTTAATTTCCTGTTTGCCTTGTTTGGCTATGATAAGAGACTTAAAATGAAGAAAAGGCATTATTTAAAAAAGGGTTGTTCATGCTTGACTGAGTACTCTCCTTGGACATTATTTTCCCTTTCAAATTCTTCTAATACTTGCTCAAAACCCACAAGCTAGTTTGCACCTTTCACCTTTAGCATTTCTTCAGCTTACTAAAATGAATAAGGCATTGTCCTGTGAGCAGTTGATTTACTTCCTCTGTGTGTTTGGAAAGGTGTTTATTTCTGGATGTCTTTGTTCACATTCTCACAAAACTGGACGTCATCCTGTATGTACTTAATTCAGCTCCATTGCCGTGCCATGCACATTTGTATAATCTTCAGATATGATCCCTAAACTTTTTGAAGGGCATAACGTGCCTTGCCTGCTAGTTCTGCTCAATCCCTGTGCTTCCATAATAATGAACACTTGCAGGGTTTGTATTTTTATATACCTAATCTTTTGGACATCCTTAAATGTGCAGGTGGAAAAATACAAAGGAAGCAGTCACAGCTTCTATACTGTGTAAGGTGTGACTGCAAAAATGTTGCTCTTTTTTCTATCTTCTACTAACGTGTGTCCCAGAGCTTTTGCGTTACCAACTTCTTCAGAAGTGACTCATAAGAGGGTAACTTGGAAATTGCCATTACACAGTAGGAAGAAATGCTGGATTTTCAATATAAACACCCTCCAGATGGTTTATTTTCTTAACAGCTAAGTTCACTGTCTGAAAGAAAGAAAGGTACCTTGGTGGGCTTAAAAATCAGCATGGTAGATAAGGAAGAAGTAACCTATTTTAAAAAATGCTAAAGTTTTAGCTAAAGCCAGTATGCATTTTATTATTTGTCAGTAAAATCTGTGATGTATAACTGCTATTAAAAGCTTTTTTTTTTTTTTTTCTCTCTAAACAGCTAGGTCACTTGAGCTGTGGTTAAAATAGTCTCCTGTTAAATAGATCCAGGTTCAGTGCAGAACTAACTCTTCGTTACAAAAAAGCTGTTTCAGAAAGCACTAGCTCTCTTCACCTGGAGTCAAACATCATGCACTGCTTCAGGCAAGCAAGCAGTGCAAGGTTTCTCAGCCCTGGCAGGAGTAAGGAGTGGGAAGCAAGCTGTGCTGCCTGTGAAGTGGCAGCAAAGAACCACTTTCCCCTACAAGTGCCTTGTAGGCAGAAACTGTAGCTATGGCTACAATCTGCTCAGCATGGTCAGTGTTTCATAACATTTGCCCAAGTTACGGTCCCCAAGTGAAGATAACCTGGGGTTGCAAGAACAGGCCTTTGCCCACTGCTTCTAACTTGTGTGTGCCGGCTCACCAGCCATGAACACCTCCAGTAGGTTCTTTGTCTTCAGCCTCTGACACACATTTCACTGAGGTTAATGTGTGGTTATCTGCTGAGGTTAATAAATCACTGGAGAGGGGATATTACTGCATCATTTTCAGTTGGATAAAGTGAGATAAAAAAACGATAAAGGAATTATGCATCATATTTTCCTAGAATTACAGGCTATCCCTGGAAGGGTCCTGCATCAAAGTCCAACTCCTGGCCCTGCACAGGGCAGCCCCAAGAGTCACACTCTGTGCCTGAGAGCATTGTCCAAACCCTTCTTGAATTCTGTCAGTCTGGTGCTGTGACCACTGCCTTGGGAAGCCTGTTCAAGTGCCCAACCATCCTCTAGGTGAAAAACCTTTTTCTAATATTCAACTTAAACCCCCAACACAACTTCATGCCATCCCCTTGGGTCATGTCACTGGTCACCAGAAAGAAGAGAATTGCACAACATATAGATAAACATAGAGAAAAATTCTCTTTACAGTGAACAGCCCTAGAAGTGGAGAGGTCTAGGGAGCAGCTAAGTATTTTCCGGCAAAGGGTTCAGCAGAGGGCCTGTGCAAGCAAGTTGTAAAGGGGTGACACTGTGGTTTCCCTGCATGCCAGGGCCACTGTATGCCCTGAGCTGGAGCCTCACCCTCATTTATCTTTAAGAATGAGGCAGAGCAAGGCAAATAAAGCAACTTCTGCAACATGGTTGTGCAAGTCTGCTTGTGCTTCACTGGAACCCTGTGCAGTCTCTTTTCTTGTCACCTTTTGCCTAAAGACCACGACACCTATCCCTGCACAGGCTGCAGACAGGAACCAGTGTCTGATCCAGTGTTCTCAGTTGGAGAAAAAAAAAAAAAAGTTATGGCCTGGATATGCATATAGCTAAAGATGTGAGGAAAGTTTTGAGGGGAAAGGAAACATAAAGGGATATGAGAAATAAACCAATAAGGAAAAGGGATGGGATTGGTTGGAAAAGACCTCTAAAATCATCAAGTACAAAAGAAGGGAGGAAAGGAGAAAGATAAATATCAAGGAATAGAGTGGACTAGAAATACTTCATTCTCACACAAGTTATTTTAGGA